AAAAAAAACGAAAGAAATTAATTATTCACCCCTCATCCTCGATGCGATTTCTTTTGTTTTATTCCCCTAAGCGTCAGAGCCAAGTTAGAATTTTAATATATCGGAATTGGCCTATTCGTCCGTGGCATGTATCAAGATGGAAACTAAACTCATTAGAATAGTCAGGGTTGCATTATTATTATGCCTGCTTTTGCAGGAAAAGTGTATCAAAAAATGCCTCGAGGAGCATAAGCCATCAAAGCGACCAACAAGGCCGGGCGAGCTAGCTGACGAGGAAAACGATCCACGTCGTCCTCGTCCAAGCGGTGTAAGTCCTCGACCTCCTCGTCCAAGTGGTGTGAGCCCTCGTCCTCCTCGTCCAAGTGGTGTAAGTCCTCGTCCTTCACATGAGCCTTTCTTCGTAAGACTAGTTTGTTTCATAACTATTTAGTATTCTCACTCACTCGCCCCAAATTGCCCGATTGGGAGAGACGCCCATGTGAAAANTTCTTGAGTTTCCAGGTATATTTTGATGGCCTCAATTGAGTTTGTCGATGGTTAATAGTCTTTTAGAAGAGCCTTCAGTCTTTGAAATGTCCCAATTTTAATTTTTTTAATTTCTAAATTCAACCGTTTATATAATCTGTCAGATGATGGAGTTTGGTAATTTTCTTAGATGCAGTTCCTCGGGAGCCTCAGTTAACGGGCAGATAGGCCAATTCCGATATATCAAAATTCTAACTTGGTTCCGAGGCTTAGGAAAAAAAAAAACGAAAGAAATTAATTATTCATCCCTTATCCTCGATGCGATTTCTTTTCTTTTATTATCCTAAGCCTCAGAGCCAAATTAGAATTTTAATATATCGGAGTTGGCCTATTCGTCCGTGGCATGTATCAAGATGGAAACTAAACCCATTATAATATTCAGGGTTGCATTATTATTATTATTATGCCTTCTTTTGCAGGAAAAGTGTATCAAAAAATGTCTCGAGGAGCACAAGCCGTCAAAGCGGCCAACAAGACCGGGTGAGCTAGCCGACGAGGAAAACGATCCACGTCGTCCTCGTCCAAGCGGTCTAAGTCCTCGACCTCATCGTCCAAGTGGTGCGAGCCCTCGTACTCCTCGTCCAAGTGGTGTAAGTCCTCGTCCTTCACATGAGCCTCTCTTCGTAAGACTAGTTTGCTCCATAACCATTTAGTGTTCTTACTCACTCGCCCCAAATTGCCCGATTGGGAGAGACGCCCATGTGAAAAGGTCACATGGGCGTGACCTCAATTAGATGCTCGTGATCTCACTTAGGGGTTTATATCACGGATTTTTGTCTCGCTAGTGGTTCAGGAACAAAACAGCACTATTTTTAGCTATCGAGACATCTTTTAGGTTTACTCTCGATCAAAGGAATGAAAAAAAACGCTGGCATGTTCATTTAAATATGGTATCTTTTAGCGGTCGAGCCGCGCCCCGATTGGTCTCCTGTTGCATGTGTAACTCACATTTTCCCATGACATTCCCGACTTTTCTCCATGGGATTCCCCCCAAAACAATTAACTTGTTACATTTTGTAAAGTAAAATAAATCCTCAAGATAATTACGTAGACAAACAACTGTTCTTTTTTAGTTTTTAGGAAGGTTTTACTGTTATGAGATGAATTTATTGTCTTTGGCAACGTTCACCAATGTTTCTAAATTTTGCTCGTCTTAAAATCTATCAGAATACCTTACCAATTAACTTATCAATGTAGTTCTCAAATCTAAATCAGTCACTTACAAACTGGATTCCTGATTATCAGACCGACTGATTTCTCCAGGCATCAAAATGGAAACTAAGTTCGTGATAACAATGAGGGCTACATTATTATTATGCTTTCTCTGCAGAAAAACTGTATAAAAGCCTGCCACGAGAAATACAAGCCATCAATACTGCCAACAAAGCCGGGCAAGGAAGCTGACGAGGAAAGTGATCCACGTCGTCCTCGTCCAAGTGGTGTAAGTCCTCGTCCTCCTCGTCCAAGTGGTGTAAGTCCTCGTCCTCCTCGTCCAAGTGGTGTAAGTCCTCATCCTTCTGTTAAGCCTCTCTTTGTAAGTCTAGTTTGACTCATGACTATTTAATATTCTAACCACGCGCCCCAAATAGCTGTGTCATGCCATCTTAGAGAAATCCGCATTCGAGCAACGTTAAACAGTGCGATTTGTCGTCTTGAGTTTCCAGGAAGGTTTTTATTTTGACAGTGGAGATTGTTAAGCTTCTTGTTTTTAAATTTTTCCGTTTACACTCTGTCAGAATGCTTTACTCATTAACTTATGGGAGGAACATTAATTCAAAGTGGCGCCCTAGTTATCAGACAGATTCATCCGGCCACCAAGAAGGAAACTAAGTTCATGAAAACAACGGGGGTTGCGCCTTTGTTTTCTTTTATTTTGTAGAAAAGGTGTATCAAAAAATGCTTTGAGCACTTTAAGCCATCACATCCGCCAACATTCCCGGAAGAGCTAGTTGACAAGGAAAACGAACCTCTCCGT